CGACTCCGACTCTGGCTTTCAAAAACCAACTCCGACTCCGACTCCGGGCAGAAATGTCGACTCCGATCGACTCCAACTCCCGACTCCGACTCCGCACACCTGGCAGGGCTGCGGAGTCGACAGATTTTCGGTGACTCCGACTCCGGCTGGGGTTTCCAATATCGACTCCGACTCCGACTCCGGTCACAACTGTCGACTCCGACCGACTCCGACTCCGACTCCGCAGCCCTGCCTCCCACCTTCAAAAAAGTTAATGAATTGGCATAAAAGTGATGTCACTTGGTTTGGAAAGATCAAAAATGAATATCTACCAAATTTCACCGAAAAATATTCACTGGTTTTCTAGATATTAGGCTTTTACTTTTGTTTACTTTTTGGGATCTCCGCTGTTCCTAGCGACTTTATTTGAAAGTGCGGCACTTGTTGCGCGCAAAACAGCATATACCGCCGCGTGCTATCAAACGTTTTAGTAAAACATTGAAAATCGTTAGATCTCCGCTGACGTCACAAATTCTAAAGGGGCATTCCAATGCATTAGCCCCTTAGAATCCGAAAACTGCAAGTTTGAAATTCTTCAGTTTGAATATCTCCAAGTTATACAAGTTTGAATATCTCCGAATTAAAACATTTTTCGATGTTGTGAGTGCCCAAACCGGTATTGGCAGGCCATGGCCACCAATTTGGCTATCTCAACTCAAAACGAATGTTAACCCTCGCATGTGTAGGGGGGGGTCGGATGGACCCCCCCCCCCCATGGTTTTTCGCGAATAACTCGCGTAAAAAGCGGCCGATCGCAACGAAACTTTCAGTACCCTCGCATTGATCAATTTTACACCTACCCTGAAAATTTTATGACCCTGACCCAAATGACCTTTGACCTGTGACCTCTTTTCCGAGACCATGTTTGGCCGGAATCGCGATTTCGCGTATGTCGGCTCGCACTAGCCGCGTGTTTGCAAGCTTTTCGTGGTTTCAAACGTTCAAACATGTGATTTGATGTTACTCCCGTGTGTGTCAAGGTCACCTGAAGGTCAGGTCAGGTCATTGACCTTTGGTGACCTCGGGTGACCTCGGGTCACTTTTTCGAGTTTTACATGTTTCTAGGCTAGTTTTTGGAGCTGAATTCGAATTTAGCAACCATTTGAACATTTACGAAGTAGTTTTGGTGACTTCGTAACATGTTACGAAGCTGTCAGAGGCGGTTGACACGTACTACGAATACCCGTCACGACGCCTACTGGTTGACCTGACCTGACCTGACCCGACCTGGTCTAAATGCTTCAAGACATCATCTGTGATCAAAACTAACACGATATTCGTGATCAGCACCCCGAAAAACCTCTTAGCAGCCACACTTTACGACTTTCTAACAGGTCCCGATTTTCCCGACTTTGGGTCATTGACCTGACCTGGAAGGTCAACCAATGACCTAGGACCTTAAAATTGGGTATCATCGGCTTCCTCTCGCCACGGGCAACACGCTCGTTTTTTCCGCGAAGCTCTAGCTCGATCAGGGGCCAAACGGCAAGGGGGGGGTCCAACCGACCCCCCCCCCCTACACATTAGAAGCTGGCAAACGCCGCACACATGCGAGGGTTAAAGGAAATAGTTCACTTTTTAACATGGGTTTTGAACTGGAATAGCAGTTCCGTAGCTTGGGCTGAGACGAGCATAAATCAGGAGCTTTTACAGCCCAACGATCACCCTAGGCAAAGATATTCTATTTCTCGTCCCGAAAAAGGTGTCTTGCGTTGAGGATGTGTGCCTTGCATATATTTCCATCCAGTATGAAAAGAGCATGGGTCCCGAAAATTATTCAGAAACTAGAGAAATTATCTACGAGAACTCTAGAGAAATTCTCGTACTGATCAATTAGGACATTCAGGGGAACATTATCAGATCGAGCAGATCGCCCATATGCCGGTGGCTGCGATAATTTCTGTTTCTGAAGAATTTTCGGGACCCATGCTCTTTTCATACTGGATCGCGTGTGCCTTACAGAAACTGAAAAGTTCTTCCTATATCAAAATATAGAAAATAATCTTTTGTTATAAAAAGGTTTTATTTTCTTTGCTGATTATTTTGAACATAAAAAATCATAAATCCGTTGCAAAAAAAAAAATAATTTCGTGAAAGTGAACTATTTCCTTTAAGGTGGGGTGGTCAATTTAAGAGCAAACTGGTGTAACCAGGCCCATGTCACTCCACTTTTGATGACATCATATGGGGGCCTCAGGACAATAATGGCGCGGCGCGCCACAAACGCTTCAAAGCTACTTGCCAACAGCCGCCATTTTTGAAAATATTATTTTGAAATAAAGTTCCAAGTAATAAAAATATTGTAATAAAGTTGTTGAATAAATCGATACCATATCTAAAAACTTACTGAAAAATGATTTATTCATAGTAAAAATATAAGCTCGATGCATTTTTACGTTGCTTTCCTGCAACTGCAGAGGGTTTTTAAATCGTCTATATCTTCAAAACCGGCCATTTCTTAGCATATTGCTGCTCTTTTTTTATCGCTAGAAAATTAGTTGGACTTTCCAATGACATCAATGGTTGAGCAATATGTGTAGAGTGTCGCCAACAATCTTCAAATGAAGTTAGTCATGTTTACGTTGTAAAGGAATGGAGTACCCCTTTCGAGCATCAGGGGTGACGTCACTCAGGATCTGTCTCTAGACGCGTTTACATAGGGTTAGTTGCAAGCTTATATCTCCGTCCGTGATGTTGCAAAAGATGCCAATGGTGCTGAACAATTTACAAAATGATCCCCTCTAAATATTTGAAGACCACTGCATCGAAATTATCGCCAAATTAACGAGCTAGAGCCTCGTCAAGTATGCTATGTAAACCGGGTTTCTGATTGGTCGGCGGCGGGTTTCTGATTGGTCGTTTCTGACTGTACCTTCTATAGATGGCCTTGGGTGTAACATGGACCGTGGTCGCTGCTTCCACTCCGCCTAATGTAATTGAATAGGTCAGGCATACAGTTCTGTTTATGCGCAGGAACTTTTGCTCTAATGGACGGGCTTTTTGAGCACCGGGTATCGTCCAAAGCTTCTTGGACCTCTTACGACTTGCGCATCAAAAAAGCTAGACAAAAACGTAGGGAGAGCTTGAGGCTACCTTTCTCAACGATCGGCTTAGCGCTTTCTCTTAGGTATGGATTATGTGCCAGGCAGGGGGGCGACACGGCTATTCGCGCAATGTATTCATTTATGGGCCGCGCGGGGCCTCGCGATGACGCGGCTGGAGGCAACTGCTCAGCGCGCTAGGATACTTCTGGCGGGGCCGGGCGCTGAACGGTGTGCAATGAATGGGTTATGGTCGGGCAGACAGAGATGAGGCATTGAATTTGAATTGACATCAGCAATCGGGTGGGGAAGGAGAACGTTTCTAATCGAGCTTGGGATGGGGAAAGCCGAAAATATCACGATCGGCTCATAGCTCCGACAGGGCCGGGTGCTGTGCCATGTGTAGTATATTTAGGCGGGCAGACAGAGATGAGTTATTTTATTTAAATTCACCTTACCATCGGTTTCTGGTGAGGTTTGAAGACGTCTTCAGTCAAGCTCGGAGTGGGGCAACGGCCACTGGCGGATCCAGGGGAAGGCATTTGGGGCAAATGTCTTCCCCAACAACCAGGGCAGCGCCCGAAATCGATTTTCGAGAATAAATGAAAACTTCACAACTTTTCTGAGGAAATGTTGGTTAATCACACCGCGCAGCAGTGCGCAAGGAATCGAAATCCGAGTTTTTTAAATTAATTCCGAGAAACCTTTTTGGGGTAAGCCCCCGCAGTGTCCAATACCGCTTCCTGGATCCGCCAGTTGTGAATAAGTCACGGTCGATACCGAGCTTCGGCGGGACCACGCGCTGTACACGTTGTTCTTTGAATGAAGAGGTGGACAGACACCTAGCCCCACATCCTACTGCTATGCCCGTGCTTCTGTGGGTGAAGCACTAAAGTATCACGGAATCCCAGAGGACCTGCGAGTCGACGAGGTGGCCGCTTTGGCCGCCGGATACTGCAGCTCCCTGGAGTTGCCTGGGACCGATGGCAAAACAACAGCTCCGGCGGTGCCCCTATGGGCCGTAGTAATTAGTGAATTCCCGTAATGTAGAGATCATATCCTCAATAATCTCCATTACCATTTTATATTCCTAAACAATATGACAGACCAATTATGCTTGCCTACGTTCAGGCATTACCTCTGATGGTCATACGCCCAGTACAACATGTGTTGTCTGTCAAACAACAATCGACGACGGGATCCCTTCTCATCATCTCTTAAGCCATCGGTTGTCAATTCACCCACCCCGTTTCCCTAAAAATAGACGGTCAGATTCGGCCTGGGTCCTTACGACCCCTCTAAATTCGCCAGAGACGGGATCGGATCGCCGTTATTGCACCCATCTTAGTGTCTTAAATACTATGACAGCTTCGACCACGGACGTCGGACGGGGTGATCGTTCCATGAATGTACATTGTACGCACCATCTAGGCCTAGGATGCATCGAGGTTTAAAAGGATGCAGTCTGCAGATCAATCAACAAACAATGGTGGTATGCAACCACTTTAAAATATCTCCCTGGCTCCCGCAACGTTCCAACGCCCCTCCGTTATGCATTCGCCCTGTGTGTCCGCCGAGCCGGCTTGCCTCCAATGACGTCATCGGCCGGCCGGCGGCGTTCAAGGTCAAACGGCTGGTGTCCTTACCTGGAGTTCTATAGCCTTGGTGCCAGGCCCGTTTGAAAAAGGTTGATTTATCATGGGAACCCATTGGGCAAGTAGTTTTTGAGCGCCCATTTGACCTAACGCTACCAACTGTTAATGGCTACCCCTGGATAGTGAGCTGCTGGACGCTCATTGAGATATGTATGTATGCATTGACACCAAAAGCCTTCCATATATGGCTTGGCGATCACGGCTTCCGCAGGCTCCACGGAAGCGATTGCGTTGCGGCGGTGGCGCTGCTAGAGACCAGGTGCGACAACGTCCAGTGGGCGGGGTTGGTAGAGGCTGTGAATTGTTTGGCCTGTGTAAAGGTAGTTTGGTTAACCTAGCAGTTTCAAGATATCATTACTCACACATTGTTCTTTGTTGTGTGGGCCGCACTTCGTTTGAGCAATTGGAATGTTCAATTGCCTGTTTATTTATTTCAATCACTTTAATTGTAAGTGTTGCATGAGAATGGGTCCGGCGCCAAGCCTAATAAGTTAAAAATAGAATAGTTTTTATTAAGTTTATTCAGTTTTATTCAGTTTTACATTATTTCACTCATAGTCACGGGAAATAATGGTAAATAACACACACCTCGATATATGTGGTGACTAACCTAATTGTCAAGCTAATTAATGTATTTAAAATAACACCGAGAAAATCAATAGTTATCTGGCATGCCGTTATAATTATTAAAGGTTTACGGTTTCCATCACATCTAAACCTATACTTTATTTCATTATGAGCCTTAACACCGCGATTTCATTTATCATTGCACACACAAAAGATTTCAGGGGGACTTGCCCTGATCGATTAATACAAACCCGACCAAAGGTCCCACCTGAAGCCCAATTTTGACTATTTGGTTTATTTGACTATTTGGTTTATTTGACTATTTGGCCCAGTTTTGACAATTTCGACTATTATTACTATTTGGTATCATAAGCACGAGACTTTGGAATGGAGTCTTAAAAGTATCCATTTTGTAGACATGACGAGTCAACCTATGGATCTGACTGCTTGGCGATCAAAGCCAATCAGCACACAAACACACTCGATGGTATTGGCGGGTGTTAGCTTGGCACAGTTTGATGCTTACCTTCCGGCAGGTCCTGTTCAGCTACGCGGATCTGGCGCACACCATAATGTCCGACTACGCACCAGCTGGACTTCATGAGGCTGCGCTCGCTGCTGGCGGTGGCGACGCCTCTCGAGGTTGGCATGCTGACGAGCCGCTCCCTTCAGCCGCCCAGCTGGAAGAAAGCGCCAAGCAGCTGGTAGAGCGCGTGAACGCCAAGAGACTGCGCGACGAACAGCGGTTGCGCGAGCTACGCGATGGCTTGCGCTCTGTGCAAGAGCGCGCAGTGCGCCAGCTGGAGAGTGCCTGGTACCGTCAGATGCAAGCCGACAGTGAACGGGTGCGACGCCAAGTAGAGGCGCTCTACCAGGTGATCGCCGAGGTGGGCGAACACGAACTAGAGGTGCAGACGGCACGCCAGGAGCTCAACAAGCTGATCGCTGAGATGGCTGACCGTCAGGACTGTCATCCCAATACGGGGATGTGAACTCAGTCCAGGGCTTCCGAGCCCCCCCCCCCCCCAACATTCATTGGTGAAGAAGCAAGTTATCATCTGGTTTACTTGGTTTACTTGTCATTTTTGCGCCGTACCTGATAATTCTGTTTGGTACTGTTTTTCAATTGGTGCGTCGCTGTCTGGTTGGTATTGTTGAAAAGTGCCGTCTTTTTTGTCCAGACGACACGACATGCTGCTTGGATTTGCACGTCAACACGCATCTTAAGCGTTTACTTTATATTTTTCCACGAACATTGTATAAACCAGGTATAAACCTTCCAAATACATGGTTCGCCTCAGCTGAAGTTGTCTATCGTGTTTTTGTTCTCCGTCAGATCCAAGATAACAGATAGCGCACAGATAGGGGTGGGGAGGGGGAGGCGTGGAAAAGCTGAAAAACACCAATTTAATTATGTCCCTGGGTCACTTAGCCCGTGCCGTGCTGGGGAGAGCGGGCGGGGGGAGGGGCGTGGATTTTCGCAAATATCTCAAGCGCCGCCGTTTTTTGCACACCAATTAACCCGCGCCCCACTGGGGGTCCTGGATTTCCACGCCCTGCTGGGGGGGGGGGGATGTTTGAACATCCCATCCCCTTCTTAACTCCGCTCCTGGGCCACGTAACGTTACGCGGAAGGCGGCGTTCGAAAGAGCACCAAAAATAATGACGAAATCACTTCGGTCACTTTTTTGGTCAGGTCACCAGGGGCATTGAAGGCAAAATTTCGCCGATTTTCAGGTCGAATGTCGACAATTACCAAGAAAACAACGCATAACTCGGGAACCAATAGAGCTACAGCGCTGCACAAGAGCGCATTCGACAGCCCTATTAACGTTCTTTCCGAACATTCTCTCAGATTTGACCTAACGTCAACGGTTTTGCCTGCAGGGGGTAAAAACTGGCAAAATAGCCGATTTTTTCGTTTTTTTTTTAAATAACTTTTGACCGAAGCTTTGCACGAGGTTACTATTACCGGCATCATGTTCCTCTCGTCAAGACGCATCGAACGAACTATAAGTTGACCTTGAAAGGTCAACATGAAAATTTGACCCTGGGTCTAAAGGTGCCCTGACGCACGACTTTTGGTCACGATTTTGTCGTGGCAAGCCGTGCCATTTTCGTGCACGAACTGGGATGGCTCCCGCAATGTTCACGACTAGTGCACGACCAGTTCACGACGATTTCACGAATAATTCACGAATGCGTGCACATCAGTGTCCACATTGACACGGACTGGTACGACGAGTTTACGAATACTTTTCGCATAGCTTGCGCATAGTTAACGCACTTCCCGCACCGTCCCGACGAGTTCACGAACAGTTTGCGCATAGTTCACGATCCCGTTGCGAAATTTTTTCGTGACCAAAACTTTGAACATTTCAAAGTTTTTGCCCCGACATGGTACGAAGTCACGACGAGTTAACCCTCGCCCGCACATGGGGGGTTTGCCACCCCCCATCCCCCCAGGTAGTCTTTCTGCTCTACACTCAACATTTTTAGAGCTAGAAGCCTGATTTTTAGTATAGCTGCTCCTCTGTCCTTTCTTAATGTCCACTGAAAATTTCAAGTTTCTGTGGTTTTTGGTTTCGGAGATATGACCTTGTTTTTCAGGTCATGTCATGACCCAAATGACCAATTCTCAACATCTTGCGTTGGCTATGGGCCTTGTGCAGGGGTGGACAAATGTGCTGAGTTGGGGTAGCACGGGCGCAGCAAATCCGCCGCCGCCCTAGCGGTGACCTTGACCTCCGCCGTCTGTTGCGGCTCCAAAGCCAAGCCGGCGTGGAATTGGGAAAGCTCGTGCTACCCCAACTCGGCACAATTATCCACCCCTGGCCTTGTGAGCTTTTGACACCTTGATTTCGGCCTTTTTTGCCAGTCTGACCTCCCACCTATCATGGAACGATGATATGTATCATGGAACGATTGTTCGACGATGTACAGATGTCAAGGTCAGGGTCAAGATCAACCTAGGTCTTCTAAAATAATTGCGTTTAAGGCAAGCTGAATTTACTTTTCGTGAATTTTTTTGACTGCATTTTTGGTAAAAGATTCTCAGATCATGATTTCATGTAATATGGACACATAAACACTCGGTGCACACATCAGTATACACACAGACACACACAGACATAAAACATATAATTGACCTTGACCTAATTTGACCTGAAATGACCTCAGCAGCAAAAATCTGGTCGGGTAGTGTGACAAAGAGGTTCTAGCTGGCTCGGCACCAGAAAACGGCATCGTCATCGGTATATGATAAGCAACGCACTTGATATCCAACGGTGACCCAAAACAGCAACATTTTTTGTTTGACCTGACGTGGAAGGTCAATGACTGACCTGAGAAGGTAAACTGGGTATCATTGGATTTGTCTCTTCCCAAACAATATTTTTGGTCTTTACCGCGAAGCTCTATCTCCAACAGGAACGAAATAGCGCGGGGGGTGGCAAGCAACCACCTGTTCGTTCTAGGATGGGAAAATGGCATGTGCGGGCGAGGGTTAACGCACACTTCACGTCAGTTCACGACTAGTTTGCGCACGGGCACGATTCGATTCGTGCCAATGCGTGCCACAAAATCGTGCAAGTGTCGGAGCCCCTTAAAGGGACTATCCCACCTTCTAAAATGTTGTTAAAACCAGTTAAATTGTGCCCGACTTTATAGATTGGATGACCAGGAACACGGTTCTGGCATTTATTTTTCATTAAACATCTTAGGCTTCCCATATTCCAAACACAAACTTTCAAATGTGTGACGTCACAGCCCAAAATTACCTCCTTCCCCAGGCCACATTACTGTCATAAAGCTGATTCTTTTTACTCTGGAGGCACCACAACAAAGTTCAGACCAAGTTTTAAGCGATTTTTCAACGAACAAACCCATTTAAATCAGAATGACTAAACGAGGTGACGTCACACTAACGGTCGCTCCATGTTGAAGATAGGGCCTTGTACAAGGCCCATTTTCAAATGAAGGGAACGAATTTCTTCAACACCAAGAGGCCGCGGGGGTTGCAACCTAGATAGATAGTGGTTTCTGAACATCGCCGCAAACTTGGCTATCTCAACTCAAACCCCATGTTAAAGGTGGGATAGTCCCTTTAACCCGCGCCCCGCTGGGGGTCCTGGATTTCCACGCCCTGCTGGGGGGGGGGGTGTTTGAACACCTCCCCCCCCCTTGTAACTCGGCTCCTGGGCCACGTAGCGATACGCGGAAGACGGCGTTCGAAAGAGCGTCAAAAATAATGACGAAATCACTTTGGTCAATTTTTTGGTCAGGTCAAAGGTCAGGTCACCAGAGGTCATTGAAGGCAAAATTTCGCCGATTTCCAGGTCGAATGTCGAAAATTTCCAAGAAGCCAACGCATAACTCGGGAACCAATAGAGCTACAGCGCGGCGGAAAAGCGCATTCGATAGCCCTATTAACGCCCTTTCTGAGTAATTCTCTCAGATTTGACCTAACCTCAACGGTTTTGCCTGCAGGGGGCAAAAACTGCAAAAATAGCCGATTTTTTCGAAAACAGTTTTTATGCAATAACTTTTGACCCAAGCCTTGTACGAGCTTACTTTAACCGGCATCGTGTTCCTCTCGTCAAGACGCATCGAATGAACTATAACTTGACCTTGAAAGGTCAACTTGAAAATTTGACCTCAGGTCAAGGTCATGACCTGACCGGAAAGGGTCATATTGCATATCAGTCGATCCGTATCGTCGAGCTGAACACATCTAAGGCGTTTTCATTGCTCTAGCATGCCTCTATCAAAAGTTATTTGCGAAAAACTGTTAGATGCAATTCGTGACCTAAGATGACCTCAGGGCATAAACAAGGGTCACGGACAACATTTTCATGTTCAGTGTGTCTAAACTACTTGTAATTCGGTGTTTGGGAGTGTTTATAATGTCTTTCATCCAAAAGAGGCGCATTTAAATTTTCTCCCATTGACTTATAATGGGGAGGTCGCAAAATTGACCTGACCTTAGGTCATCGATATCAAAATTCTGAGATAAACATTTTGTGCATGCTATTGCTCTTAGCAATCGCTGAAAGTTTCAAAGCGATCGGTCACTTGGTGTAGCTATGACAGACATTGAAAGTTTGTATGAGGTGAGGTCACTTCAAGTCACCTGGTGACCTGACCTTGAATGACCTTGGTCTGAAATTTTCACAACATGTGTAGAATTGATGTATGATAAGGTGTACCAAAAACGGCGGCGCTCCGCGCCGCCGTTTTTGAGATATTCGCGAAAAACCACAAGGGGGGTGTTCAAACACCCCCCCCCCAGCAGGGCGCGGGTTAAGTCATGACCTGACCGAAAATGGTCATGTCGCATATCAGTCGATCCGTATTGCAGAGCCGAACACATCTAAGGCGTTTTCATCGCTCTAGCATGCCTCTATCAAAAGTTATTTGCAAAAAAACTGTTAGATAACATTCCTGACCTGAGATGACCTTAGCCCGCGAGTTGCTGGGGGGGGGGGGCGTTAAACGCCCCCACTTTTTCGCCGGGCCATAGCATAAAAACTGCGCGCCGCAGGCGCGCCAAATTTTGGGTACCTGTAGGGAATTGATTGAAGTTTATTGTGACAAAGTTTCAAAAAAATCGGTTGGAAAATTTTTGAGATATCGAGGTTTTAGTGACGTCATGATTTCTGAGTTTTCGACCAAAAACGGTATATGTTCAAAAAATCATATAAAACCACAGAATAGACATACAGACATGCCGTAAATGCCATTAGACTGCCAATACCATGAACAATCAAATGGCTATCTTCGATTATTGATTATCGTTCCGAATTTTCCAAAATCTTGAACTGAATCTTCGCAATTTCTCGTGACTACTTCACGACCATGATACATGCATTTCTTAAATTGAACTTTTTTAGCCAAACACGTACACATATGATAAAATGAATGTCGTCATCGTGTTCTACGCCCCAAATTACCCATAAAACATGTGTCACAGGCTGCGAATATCAGTTTTGATTTTCGGGGATATGTGCCTACCCGGTTGACCTGACCTTGACCCTGACCTATGCTTGACTGACCCCTATTGGAGCGGACACTCTTGTAGGCCTTATATGATGGATTGTGCACCGTTTTGACAGAGTTTGTGACGAGAGGCGCCCATTGCGAAGTCCTGAAGTCCATGCTACTGAAAGCCCGATTTCAGGTGTTTGACCTGACCTTGACCCGACCTGTGACCTCAAAATGCAACTTTAAAGTACTCATCTGAAGCGTCTCGTCGCGCTCTTTCGTTTGCCGCCTCGTGCGTTTCGCTGCGCCTATTGGTTCTCGAGTTATCGG